CTCTTTGACTACATTTGAATTGTTAATATTTGTATTTTATTATAGTTTTGTTTTTTACTACACCTTCACCAATTCCACATGTTTCTTCCCGAACTGCACTTATGTTGTTTTACTTTATACTAAGTCTGGGCGGCAGCCATTTTGGTTTATCCCTGCTTTTGATTGCTTGACCTGTGTTGACTGGAATTGTGCATTTTGGTTGTGAATTGAAGCACTCTTCCAGAATTGAAAACATTCTGTGTTATAGAGCGACCAATTATTACCTTTTGAACGAATCTGTACGTGATCTATCCAGACAAGATATAATAACATTTATTTGTGGTGATTGGTAATTTTCTTGCATCTTCTATCAACTTCTTTATTTATTGTAATTTAGATTTAATTGATTGAACAATCATTGGTTGAATAGCCGGGTGATAATATTTGTTTAGGTAATGATTTACATTAAATTTATTATGAATTATAGAACCGCTAGTTACCCGATTACTTGTTCTGATTTCGACGGGAAAGGGCGCGTGTCTAAAATCCCCGGTCGGCTATTCTTCAACATCCAAACCGTAGTTTGGATCCTACAGGCCTATCTCCACAAAGCTAATACTCGTACTCTCTATTTCAGATAATCAACGAACACAAATCTCGTCATGTGCGTCTGCTGCGTTGCCAGTTTTTGTTAATACCTTATCAAATAAAAGTCTTGTATTCACTAAATACAGAGTTTCTTGCTATATTTGGTATAAGGGGGGTGAAAACATTGAATGGGCCTGTAGTTGTGTTTTGACGAGCGCGTACCCTCACGATACTAGTGACCCGTCAGTGTAGCTAAGGTATTGATTGGAAATCCGACGGCATCCCAATAAACAACTATGGCTTAAACGCGTACCCATCAACGTACTACTGCAACACATCATGTCGGCTGAAATAGGTTATAAGGAGGCCCGGACTTACGGGTTTCCCGTTGCTTGCTTATCATATGGTATTTCAATCAGAAATTAAGATTGCAGGTAGGGACTGTTGGGATGTGTAACGGAGTCAACTGTCTTAACTTGAAATTACTACATATCAACTAGGTGCTGACAGGCTCGCGTTTCCCCAGTTTCTTGCAACGATTAACTAGATAAAACGAAATAGCACCAAGTCTATAAATTTATTCACGAACTTTAATTAACAATGGAATATGAAACAAATATTTACAACAGGTTCCAAATTACATTGTAGCATTGGTAAAGGGAAGCTGCAGTAGTTGGTTCTTTTCAAACCACAGGGTATAATAAGTAACTCCAAAACACTGGAAGTGGTTGTGAGACTAAAGCGGACGTCCGATATGCTTTTAATAATCTGCTGTTACTTGGGTCTCCCATAAAGTTTCATAGAGCCATATTTATAAAGCTGAATGACTTTGTAGGATCTGTCACGGCTCATTCCTGTTACATTCTAAATAAAAGATAGTAATGGATTTAGTCAAAAATGTTGAAAAGGTAAATAAACAAATTACATGTTTCTAAGGAAAGAATTTATGCAGTTGTGATTTACCTCGACTTCATAAATATCAGATCACGCCAGCTACTAAAACTTGTGCAAAGTACAGAATCAGACAGCTTTATTATTTTGGTCCCACTTAAGTATTCCCACGCATCTGCGTCTGGTTTTACAGGAAGATATACAAGTTGATTTAGTATCTGGTAAACTAAAAGTTCCAGTTGTCAAAAAGACTCTTAGCATTTGTCCACAGCCAGCAGCATTTAATTAAGACAGAACACTCCTCATCTAAGACTGTACACTGCTGTTTTGCAGGCAAATGAAAGCTAGGACACTTAGCTATCCTGCTACCAATGTTATTGCTGGGGAAATCGTTCAATGACAGTGGTCTTGAAACATGAACAGCGTTAAACGTACTGTCTACAAATAAACACCAAACGTACTTAAAGCTATCTTATAATGTATGACAGCAACAGTACCAAAGGCATTTTTTCCCTATTTTTAATCAGACTGATTTGAATCAGTATACTCATTAAAAACAGGCAGCTCTACTTACTAAACTGATCTGTTTCGTTACAGGCTTCAAGCACTATACTTAAGTATACTATAATTCTATAGACTAAACTAAATTATACGGCAATCAGGAATACTAAACTAAGCAAGTGTCATAATTGTTGTTCCATTTGCACAAACATTTTGCTAAACGGAGTCAAATGAACATAATTCAGCCGATAGAACCAAAACACGAAATATAGGCCAGTCAAACTTACCTAAGAGAAAACGAAGGATACATATATACTGCTTTCATACTGAAGACAATAGGCAGTTGTTCATAAAACAGTACAAAAAACTTTATTCAGTAAAATCATACACTGACAGTCTATCTGGAAACAGTCAACTATGTGAATAAACTCACTATGACTTGAGATATCATCCCAGCGTGCAATGGACGTTCAGTGTAACACAGTTGGACGTGGCGAATAAAAATTAAAAACAGAAGAAAATTAACTACATAATCTAGTTATTTAATTAAAAATACATTATGAAATGACAAAATCTGTGGTTACTTGAATGCACAGATGACCCTGTGCGATACATTAAGTTTATATGGTTGCGTTGCGGATAAATTCACCCTTAGTAGGGTTGTCACCTCGAATGTACATATGTTCAGTGAAGTTGATTTTAGGAAGATTGAACACAAATATACCCAAGACGTGTAGAGTGGGATAATCCAGCATGCGATTATCGCACTTGGTGTCAGCGATGGGCTCCCTGTAGATGACTCTAACTAGACTCCTTGAGGTTTTAGACAATCTCAATGAGCACCATACAGATTCATCGAAATTGATGAACTCTTGAGTACGCACTTCATGTGCTACCAAGCAGGATCGCAGGTACAGGTCTGCTTTTCCGTCCACTCCTGTTTTTCAGTCGTTGAGAAGCGAAGGCGTGCCGCGTGTTGTTAGCTCCTGATCCACATTTGAGAAGATATCCATGTTTCAGGTATTCCTATCAGATAAGAGTTATTAGTATCACTTAATTCACGCAACTCATCCATTTTATCAGGTAAACTCACGGTGTTCTTATATAGGCGGTTTATGCCTTCATTTTGAGACGTGTGAGCTTCCTCGTCCTGTTTGTACAAATGAGCCTTATGTAAATAAACAGGCAAGCTACCCACATTGAAGTTTCCAAGTTGATAGCCCCTGTCCCTTCTGCGTTTTTTCCACGATCTTCACAGTGCTTGATCTTTGCATCACATGGCCTGTCCGGATGCATGTGGAGTCTAGTCGTCAACCGACATCTGTTGGCACAAAAAGGTTCGGGAGTGGCAGCCGCCATATGGCAGGATGGGAAGATTATCCTTATTATCCGGGGGCTACAGTCCCTGTTCTCCTCGGTAGTCTTACCATCTGTCGAGTCATTATGCTCTCGAGCTCCAAGGACTGCTTTATGAATTTCCACTTTACAATATTATAGTCTGTATGTTCGGAGTCCGCGTTTTCTGAGACACTTTGCACAATGATATTTCTCCCACAAGAGAACGTCTCGCAAGATGCCTCAGGAATGCTTCTTATGAGAATGAGTTTAGAATATGGTACATTAAGCAGTATTCTTATATCTACTTATTTCGGCAGGTAGCTGGACAACAGAACACCCTCCAATTCGACAATGTTCATGAGCAGTACACGAAGGAGTCTTGGGTGAATTTTGTGTTCCGAGTCCTTTCTCGAATGATCCGTGTAACGGTCAGTGGCTCAATTTTGGGAAGTTCGAGCTTTCAGTTCAACCCTTCCCAAAACATCCTTTCATTTTGTCCTGAAGACTGAGAGGTAGGTCAAAGTTATCTTCAGTGTTCGCGATTACAAGAGAACAATCTCGAACCATGATGGCTTTCCAAGTTTTTCGGGCGCGTTGAAGTTGGAGTCCTTTTGTTTGCTAATTGGATTGCGCTCCGGATTTCCGTGCTCTATGCTGACTGTTTGGACAATCTTAGAGGTAGATTTCACAGCCAAGTCACTAGCTGATTCACATACAAGATATGAGTTGTTCGGTATTTTCGATAGTGAAACTACGGTCCTTTCGCCAACAGAATTTTCTAAGACCACAGTTGCGCTTGAGGGGCCTGTGCTGGAGGACATAAGTTTGTTGAAAGAGTCTAACACCATCGGTTTTATGGCGGTACAGAGCTCCAGCATATCTCGACTAGTGTCGATGTGTGTTTCATCAACACTAGTGTCTCGAAGACCCTCTTTTCTACTCCACTCCACGTTTATATTCATTTATTCGTTTCAGCACTGCCTTTTCTAAGGGTTCCTGAAAATATTTTTGTAGACCTATCAAGAGGATGATGCTGCTTCTTAGAAAATCCCCATCATTCATGCTGCATGTGTATGTGATCTGACTTACTAAGTCTGTTGTAAGTTGCCATAAGATCTGTGCATAGTTCGCGAAACCGACCTTTGTATTTGTCACGCTGCATACCACGGGTGACAGCAAAACAGCATCCAGGTCGCTTACATGAGTTTTTCATGACCATGGTGAAATATGGTCCTAGCCAAAGTTTAAGGCCGTGAAACAAAAAAAACACTATATTCAAAACGGCTAAATCCGGTGGTACAAAAAGGTTTGGATATATTAAAGCCAGCATCGACGTGGAAAACTATATTAATTGATCTGGCAAAACTCAAAAAGAAAAGTAGTCTACTAAATGTCTAGCTCAGGACAGATTCTTCAGATCAAAAATGGTGCTCTTTTGTGTAAGGACACAAGAAAAGTTTGACAAACGCAAATCGTATCGGAACTAAACATTTCTTCCGTAAAGCGCGCTCGAGTATCAAATGACTATCTGAACAATCTAGTGTTAGATCGAGTGTGTACTTTATCTGTATTTTCTTGACAGTCGGGGAAGTTACGTCCATGAAGTAGTTAAAACTATGCTCTCAGCTTTTGGCTCATTGTTGTTTGTTACAGTTAATCAGTGTCCTTAACACGTGCATCCGTTCAACATTTGAGTTTTGGCCATGGATGAGTTAAGGGAGAGGAACATTGTTCTTGCAAAAATATGTGAACAAGCTGAACGATATGATGGTGAGTCAAAATCTCTTCAAATGTTTTGTTTTATATATCTACAAACACTGGGTATAAATGTAGACAAAAGTACGTGTGTTAATTTACTTGCAAATGCTATCTGTATGTATGAGTGAACTTCAATTACTGGCATTAACCGTTTCCATGATAAAGTCCTGTATATTATTTTACTGCTTCTGACCCCAACCTCTATACTTCATCAAGTCAGCATATTTTGGTTGACCCATTTTAATCCTTTAGGTGAAAATTTCACTTTGTCTCCTCGAATGTCTACCTGCCCTAGTAGTTCGTAAAATGTATGTTATTAGAAATATACATTTTGCATATGTCCGGCCATATATGATTTTTCCAGTAGGTAAACTGCTTAATGAGTTGCGTTATAGCTAGCTGCTAAATTTAAATAATAAGGAAGAACTGAACTTGTATTGACTAACCTATGCATTGCAATTGCTTAATTACCCAAAGTCAAATTAAGGATAACTATTACTTTGTATTTGCTCTCAAACTTATACGAGTTGCTAGTCCATAAATTCAAAATTAATGTTAACCATATGAACGAATTTCAACATCGTGTATTTGGTTCTCTAGATCAATAATCATAGGTTGAGAACTAAACGAGAGTCTAGAATGGATAACAAAAGTGCAAATAAATCCTATCCAAACCCCAGGAAATTTATAACATGTGTTCTCTTTTATGGACACGAATTTTGTTTTTATTCATATCCTTAGTCTTAGTATCCATTTCTGCTGTCGATGTGTTGGACGAAGTGTCCAGTTGAGTCATTTACCTCAAAATATATTCAGACGCTCTTGGTCCCATTGATGTATGTTGGCTCTCAACCACAATTATTTCAGTCTAATAAGATACCACGTAGTATGTAATGCTCCTTTGATTTCTGGTTTCAAAGTACAGTTTCTGGCGAGACTATGATTTATGAACGAACCAGCCAGATATAAGATAATAGGTTCTAGATTTTCGCGCGAAATCCACTCGTTTATTTGGCTAAATGGCGTTTCGGTATTTTAGTTGATGTTAATTCGTGATGAAAAACCTAATTTGGTTCCTCACCACAGCCATCCACTGTAGGTTAAAATTCTAATTCTTTGCATTGGTTTATAACCCTCATTTAGTCCTACTTAATAGGTAGACGCTCACAAGATAACTTTACCGTCGCCCAAAGGTCGCCACGCAATTTCTTAACCGAATCAAAATCCCTAACTATAGGAGGGATGGCATTGTAATTTGTTCAGATCTTGAGTTCATTATACTCCCACATCATTAGTTTTGATCCCAGTATATTCGGTCGCGCTGTTTCTCTTTTCACGTGGAATACTTGAATGCAAGGTCATGATTGTACCACTCAGTCTCTAGTGCCTTCATAAGCCTACGTTATTGCGTTTCGCCACTGACTATTCAAATGGCTTTTAGAAATTTGTGTACATTTGTCTGAAGATCTTGGTTACATTTTGCATCAAGCTCATGGATATTATCAATCCATGCTTGACATCTGAATAATGAATTTTGTCACGACTTAATTGGACTAGTAATCACTATACTAATCGCGACAACCCCTTTTAGAAATGGTCAAAGCTATGATTGAGATAGCTACGAATAGCGAAACTGAGCTAACAGTCGAAGAACGAAACCTTCTATCTGTCGCATACAAAAACGTCATTGGTGCCCGCCGATCATCGTGGAGAATAATAAATTCAAAGGAGAGCCAAGATGAAGCTAAGGGGTCAGACGAAATACATATAACCAAGAGATTTCGAGAAGAAGTGGAAAAAGAGTTAGACGAAATATGCACGAGTATTTTGAACCTTCTGGATAATTGCCTGTTACCAAAAGCTGTTTCAGACGAATCAAAAGTCTTCTTAAATAAAATGTTAGTATTGTTTTAGTTTCAGTGCATTTTTTGTTTAGGAGAGGCGATTATTATCGCTATAGAGCCGAGTATTCTGTCGGGAACCAAAGAAAAGATGCAGCCGAAAACAGTCTTTGTGCATATAAAAAAGCGGCAGAGGATGCTGAAAAACTTCCCATTACTCATCCTATTCGACTAGGTCTTGCTCTAAACTTTTCAGTGTTTTATTATGAGATTCTTAATAACTGTGAACAAGCGTGCAAGTGTGCAAGAGTAGCGTTTGATTCGGCTATCGCTGAACTAGATACATTATCGGAAGAGAGCTACAAAGATTCAACAATAATTATGCAACTATTAAGGGATAATCTTACACTTTGGACCTCAAATAATGAAGGTAAGTATTCTTCCTCGTGTAATCTTTTTCTTTAGGCGAAAAGGATACTGCTGCTTCTCCTAAGGGTGATAAGAAGTGACCACTGACTTTCTATCCACTTTCTCACCATAGTAATACTGATTGCTTCTTTTTACTCTGTGGATATCTGTAAGAAAAAAAGCTTCATTTAATTCTTCCAGCTGGTCAGTATTTGTATTCTGCTAAAATTGTGCAGAGGTTATTCAATATAGAACAATTTGTCTAACTTTTCTGCTGTTTTTTAATGCTTACCTCGGGTCCTACTAGGGCTTTTAGAACTTATTTTGTTTCAAGTCAACATAATAACAAAGGTTTTTTGGATGAAACTATGAATTTGAAGTGGGGAGCGAGTACGCGGTAAATCTGAAGACGGATAGACCTAAAAAGTGCTGTGAGCATTGCGTTTTCGAGGTCTAACAGTGTAATTCAATCTTTCTGATAAAAAGAAAGAAATGGGCCTATTTTTCACTGATTCGTAAATCTAGTGCATCCGATAAAAAGTAGTTAGCATTTATAAGAAAACTAGGTAGACCTGGAAGTTATGTTTGAAATACAAAAGAAATAGTTGTGCACGAAGTTGGGTTGATTGTCCTAGATACTTTCAAGAGGTATTGATCCACTTTTATTGCCATGATACTCTCTTTTGACAACCACAGATGAATCACATAAACTTATATTTTAGTATCCTTATTTATTTATTTATTTATTTTAACACAGATATTGGTACAAGAAGGCACCAAATACATATGCGCCACACAAATCTCATTTGATATATGTGAGGGCTGTGATACTGCCCGGGTGCCCAAACCGAAGCAGGTGGCTTTCTTAGGGGGCTACACCCGGAGCCTTTGACCTGAAGGTCTGATCCACAAGGCAGTGGAGCATCGTAGGGAGATGCAGTTCCATGGTAGCCGGCGACCAACGATTGGTTCATACGCCACTTGTTCCTTCAGGATCCTGGAGCCCATGTGCACTATTGGTTTGGAATCAGGGTTTCCCAACTCCCCTAGGTGAACTCCCCATGTCCACCAACCCGGTTAAAGCGCCAGACATTCGCTTTCCGTCCTCTCAATTTCGTAAACAACACCCCCTCCACGAGAAGGCAGTGAGTGGGAATTCCCTGGCAGAGGCTACATACGCGTGACCATGTGGAAGCATTTGGAGAGGGAGAGCAGACTCTCCCCACTCTCGGCCGTACCAGGGTATTTGGGGGCGGATAAATCTTTCGCCTTTTGGTGTCCAGGAACATAGACATGCTTTCTGACGTCCTACTACAACGGCGTTCCTTGACCTCAAGGTACCATCCAACTCCAGTGATTGAGAGAATCTGTTGCATCGTTTTTCGTCAAAAGGTACATTGAAGAAGTACATCAACCTTGTAAGGCTTTCTACTCGAACACTACTGGTTGAGTCAGCTTATTGCAAGCTGTCATCGGGATTGTTCATCAGGCCTGTCCGCTTTTTCTATTTTTGTTTATATTCGTCATAGACACACTTTTAAAGATAACACTTGCATCATCTGACTTCAAGGATTGATATTCACTTGTTGACTTAGAATACACAGATAATATAGTTCTTTTTGGTGACAAAATGCAGAGTTTTCTGACCTTAGGCAACAATGCAAACTTGCTTGGGATGCGGTTTTCCCCTTTTGGATTCAAAATATCACTTCAAGATAAGCTCCCGAATTAATGATGGGGAGTAAAGTAGATGGAGTTATCGATTGCTCCACATATAATGGCAGCCTCACCAGTCCTGATGAATTGGAGTCTGACTAAATTCTGGTACGTATTCAGAAGACGACTGGCTTTTGCCAACTGGCGTCACTTGTAGACTAGGTGAGTTATCCATCTTCCAACCACAGGGTGAGTTTACTATACAGCAGTTCGGTTTGTTCTACTTTATGGATTTGAAGCATGAAAATTAAGAGTAAAAGATATCCGTAGTTTTCTAGTCTTCGATCATGAGCATCTTCGAGACATTGCTCGTGTGTTTTGGGTCTATCAAGCAACCAGTGTCTGTTAAGGATAGGGTAATAGGTACAAATGACAAGTCGATCGATGAGGTAGTAAGACTTCATCGCCTGATATGACCACCTTCCTCGACGGACGATGTTTTCTGGTATAGAAGTAGGCCACAAAAATGCTTAGGGCGGCTAAAGCAAGACGTAGAGTCATTTCATGAAGTCATTGACGATTGGACTGAGTCATGTTAATAGGTATAGACTATTTGGTCCGTGTGATTATCAAAATCAATGGTTAGGGATTTTGAATGGCTTGGCTCAATAACGTCTGCAATGGTGCGTGTACATCCATTCTTTGTCTTCCCTCGAATTCTTCATAACTTTTTATTTCACAGTTTTATTTTCTCGAACCGTATCTTCGATGTCTAACGTTTTTTATTACCACTGATACTGTTGATACCTCTACTATTCTAAGATTTAACTTGACAATCTCATCCCTGTCCAAATTAGGTATAGTAACTTAAAGTGATGTACATGAGTGCCAGGTTCTATTTTGTGATTGGCTTACTTATCAGCTCCTGTGCTGCCGTGCCGTAGCATCTCAGCTTCATGTTCATTTGTGCCAAATTCTACGTTAATTACTAAGTACCGACTCAACAATCCTTACTGTTGACACGTGTAAGCTACATTTCACAGTTTTGTGATACACATCTGAACCAAATCATAACTGGTCACTGAACCGAAAATCACCAGTATCATGACCCTTATATTCCCGACTAACATAAATGCTCACGTCTGAAATACGCATTCTTAGTTCCTATATATTGATGGGAAATAAATCGGGAGATTATGTTGGATGATAAATGGTGCTGCTTTACATCTCCAAATTTTACCTCATTAAGTTAAATTGCTCAAATCTTTTTGAGATTCATTTATGAAACCAAGCTGGGTTGTTGTTTATTCATTTAGCTGACAATAAATTCACAACTTAGGCGTCTCATACACTAGTGGTACGTATCACACTCAACTCATTGTATTTGATTGATTTCAAGTCGATCACCTATCAGATCAGTCTACAAACTTAGCACTTGTCACCCATGAATGTCAGTTTACGTCTCCACACTTCAAATCACGCGGAAAGGATGAGAAGCTAAAGACTTGAATTAATTTCAGTGGTAGTGGATAACTATTTATAAAGCCATTTTAGTGATGTTTAAATGAAATTTTAATAATGATATCTGCCTCTCTAACTTGTTTTTCGAAAGCTCAATCCTACAAATAATACTGGCACACTGCTGCAAGGATACTAGAGACATCGATACCGCTTGATAGAAGTGGAGGTCCTTTATTGTTTCAAGCCTAATGGTTATTAGCAAAACTACTTGGATATTTCCCGAATCAGCAAGTTAACTATTAAAGTAATTTGTTACTACTGTTTAAGTACGCTGTAAAAAGGAATGACGATTCACATTTGAGCGTAAACTGGTTAGACGGATACGAAAATAGGGCCTGACACTTTTGGGTTGGCCTAAGTTACCATAATTGGTTAGCAGAACGTGGCCAAAACAATGTAGCAATAGTCTTGGAAATATGGTTTAGGAAGACTGAATTGGAAGGTATGCATAAAGGTCCCTAGAACAATAATGAGTCAGGTATGGAATTCGGCGCTGAGTGTATTTCACTTCGACTAGTAGTTGCTGAGAATCGTTCGGATCTTATGGTTTATGTCAATTTACAGTGTATTCAGATTAACTAATGTCAAAGTTTAAGTATTAGTGTTTAGTCATCTTAAAATAACTGCTGGTATTTTGAGCTCCTTAGTAACCAAAACACTCAATAATATCTGTTATATACAAATAACTATCTAAACTAGGATGAAATGAATATATACATTGTGGGACTAGCCTTATAATAGGAAAGTTCATGACCCAGAAGAACGATCATGAAGTAGAACCCAAATTACCTGATGTAGTCGGTTTAACATCTGGGTTTTCATTGATGTCTGTTACTTTATCGTACTGTACATTTTTAGCACGTTTTTGTCAAAAAAATAAATTTTTATAAATGATAATGGGAAGCTATGTAAGTGGTAATCATCAGTCATATTTTACCCGACGATGAGTGGTTAGTCACACAATGAACATTGGGAACAACTGGAAGAATTAAAAAATATCAGATTAGTCGTGACATATTGTTAGAAGAATTTGTCACTAATATTGTGATGTGTGCTATCGACAGACATAAGTAATATGTATCACTAGTCGATAGTGAAATGCGTGGTGGCAAAAGGTCAAGAAGATCGAAGAGAAGAGAACAAGAACAGAGAGTGGTTGGTGTGGAAACGAAGGAATAATCAGGTTTGAGACAATTGATCAACATTTTGCAAATGAAGTATTTACTGCATGGTTCTCAGGTTTCACTAGGAAATTCCGTAGTTTTGTGTTGAAATGTATCTGGTTGTCTCCACTTGTGTTCTCGTTCACTACAGTATTACTAGAGGTATTACTACAATGAGGCAGCCATATTTTTAGTTGAAAAAGTGAAGGCTTTTCATATGAATGGTGACCAACATATATTCCTTTAGTATTGATCGGATTCTAGAGATCAAGTCTCGGTGTTGTCACTAGTCTAAAAGATCGAATGGTAACGTCCCTGACTATTTAGTTGGCTGACGTGGGCTCGAGTCCCACAGAGAACATCATTGTCGACGAGTTCCAGCTAGTATGAAACTTAGGCACAGTGTTTCCTGCTGACTACCAAACTAGTCTAAGTGTTGTTTGAAGAGAACGGTGCTGAGTTAGAGTCTCAGAGTAGACGTCAGTCGTGGGATACAGGTACAATAAACTAGCTTATCTCAAATACGATGAAACGCGTATTCTAAATTCTATTGCTAGTCATCATCCATCTCTGCTTCAAATCCTTGTGTCTTAACAGCAATATCATGGGAAGCTGTACAAAAGACACGTATGTCAATAGAGACTGAACAATTGTTGTCATTAACATCAACGAGAAATTCGAACAACTAATATACATAAACATAAATTTATTTATCAGTAATTTTTTGCAATTTGGATTTCGCAGATGACCTAGCCCTCCTATCACGTACACACGAACAAATACAGATAAAGAAAGCCAGTATAGCAGCAGTCTCTGCATAAGTAGGCCTCAACATACACAAGGGGAAAACCAAGGTCCTCAAATGCAACACGAAGAACAGCAATCCAATCACTCTTGATAGAGAAACTCTGGAAGATGTAGAATCCCTCACATACCTGGGAAGCATCATCGATGAACAAGGAGGTTCAGATGCAGACGTAAAGTCGAGGATCGGCAAAGCAACGGCCGCATTTCTACAATTGAAGAACATATGGAACTCAAAACAACTCTCAACCAATATCAAAGTGAGAACCTTCAATACGAACGTCAAGGCAGTTCTACTGTACGGAGCTGAAACTTGGAGAATTACAACAACCACCATCAAGAAGATACAAGTATTTATAAATGGTTGTCTATGCAAGATACTTTACATCCATTGGCTGGATACCATCAGCAACAGCCTTCTCTGGGAGTGAACAAACCAGCTTCCAGCTGAAGAAGAAATCAGGAAAAGACGATGGAAATGGATAAGACATACATTACGCAAATCATCAAACTGCATCACGATGCAAGCCTTAACTTGGAATCCTGAAGGGAACTGGAAAAGAGGAAGGCGTAAGAACACATTACGTCGGTAAATAGAAGTAGATATGAAAAGGATGAATAACAACTGGAAGGAGGTGGAAAGGATTGCTCAGGACAGGGTTGTATGGAGAATGTTGGTGAGCGGCCTATGCTCCTTCACGAGGAGTAACAGGCGTAAATCATCATCATCATCATCATTCAAATCATCAATTTTTTACAACCATATATTTTCATAAATTATTTATGAAAAAACTATTCAAAGTTTAATTGAATGATAATTAGAACAGATAAACTGTCTCATTTACATTTGAACTTGAGTTGTACACTGATGACCTGAGTAAATAACATTTCCAAATTACTAATTATTTTTTAAAATAAAAAGAAAACAACTGAATCATTAAACTTGAATATTAGAAATCTATGAGTTCTTATTATTCTATTTCTAATTAGATGATATAAGGTTGAATTATTTATTAAGATGATATGAAATTTGTTTAATTAATTAATACTATGAGATTGTTTGATTTGAATCAATTGGGTGTTTCATTTGAACAATGTAAAATGATTATTTTTCTTTTTTTTTTATAATAATAATAGTAATAATATATTCTGAAAAATTATAATTACAGAATTCATGCCAGTTTACAGGCATGATCAATTTGATATAAATAGTAACATTAGATGTAGAGAATAAAGATGTGATATAAGATAGTTTTAAGTATACTAGTTCAGTAATTGTTTAGGTAGTACATGTATTACAGCGATCCAATGCATCAGCCAGGAATTTGTAATATTACTTAAACGGGCAGCCTGTTGATCTATAAACGGTGTAATTAAGGTCGTTTCCTGTGCCAAATCGAATTAATGATAATTATCTACAAATAGAGAAATTAAAACGAAAACAAAGAGCACGGAACAACAAAGCAGTAATTACCAAAATATGTCAATCAGGTCTAACAAAATGCATGTGTCATGAGACACAGTGATATACTGTTGATGTTATTCAAATTATTTAAAGTTGCTAGGGACGGTGTTAAGATAAAGTGATAGCAAGTAGGTGGTTTTACTTAGGGAATGCACTAATAAACATGGTTAAACATTTAAAGTTCCTATAATATCAATTGTGGAATGAGATACACTTACAGGTGCTAGAATATTCAAATAACAAAGAAAAATCGTCAGAAAAAATGACATTTCAGAATTGAAGTGATATTTTTCTAAAAATAAAATATACAATACAATTAATTAATTGAAATGTAATTATATTTACGAAATTAAAATGACTGAATTTTATGAAAACTTAATGTTACACATAAACATATTTTCGTTTAACTTAAATTCATTGCATGTTGGAAAGTAGTCTGTAACTGGAAGAGAAGATTATTTTCTTTTTTTATTTACTTAGGCCTATTATTCGCTGCCCCCCCCCCGCGCTGTAGAGCATAGGGAGATGACTAGGAATCTTCAGCCAAATCTGTCCTCGGCTTTCCTGTCAAGTTGTATTTATCTTTTTGATATCTGGCTCCAATTCCCGGAGCAATTTGTTTTTAGGTTTGCATTTTTTCCTGCTGGTTTAACAATTACAAGCTAGAGCTTGCCTCGTGATGTAGTTTGACGATTTTCGCAATGTAGAACATAGCCATCTCCAGAGTCTTTTACTAGTTTCCTCTTTGGATGGAAGTTGGCTTGCCCTTCGACACAGTAGGTATTTGTTGGTAGTATCCGACCAACGAATGTGGGATATTATGCGTAAACAATTGTTTATAAATACATATATGTGGTGTTTGTACGAACTAACGATTCCTTTGTACTTGTTGAATGCTTGATTTCAAATTCCAAAAACAATACATGCTCTCTTACTTATCTAGTACTTCTTGATCCAATTGCGTTATTTCTGGGATTTTTAGTTCATACTATAATTCAAATACTCCTAATCATCATATTGACGTCGCGATAGAGCCTGTGATGGAATTGTTGGATATACATTCAGATTTTGGTGCGTTTTAGGATTACTTGGAAAGGTTCGAAATCTGGGCTATGACCAAGGAAGATATTGAAGATGTTAATATTGTGGCCCATTTCTTCACATTCATCGGAAAAGAAGCATACAGCTTATTAAGAACTCTGGCTTTACCAAAAAAGCCCATTTCGCTTTCTTATACAACTCTCAAGGATCTACTGCTAGACTATGTTAAGTATACAAGTTTCGAATGTGGTAAAGGAGGAAGATTTCGTAAAATGATTCATGAGGATATACAAAATTCCACTACATTACTATGTCATCCCAACCCAGTACATACTCAATGTTATGCAGATAATTCATTGAGGAGTCGCAATGCAGTTCATGAAGATGGACACACGTTTGATCGATGTTTGTCTTGTGGCAAGTCTCACCCATGTAATTCATGTGCACTTCATAAGTCTAAATACTTGAAATGTGGTGATATTAAACATATTCAGTCAGTCTGTAATACTACTGTTCATCTTGCTGCAACTAATATTAAGTCCTGTAATTCTGATCCCATTAAGTCCAGTGTTCCTAATGATCATTTATCCTCATCAATGATTTCAAAAGACAGTGTAGAGTCATATAGCAAATCAAAGTTAAATGAAACCCAGAATCCTTGCGAGACAACAGTTTCTAATCAATCAACTTATCAAATGTCTCATGTTATTGTACCAGATATGGTTTTTCCCAATGATTCACTTATTTCTGAAGAAATTCCTTACAAATCTGAGGAAAATATGTTGAATGAACCTAGTCATGATGGAAGACCTGATATAGTTTTGATAGATGCTGATTTTTCTAATGATCCCTTACTCTGCAATGAAATTCTTAATAAATTCGAGGAGACTATTTCAGAAGAGTCAAATCTTGATTTCATACGAAATATTATTTGTCCTCATAATGCATATGTTTCTTGTGGGAAACTTGATCAATGCGAACCACCAGTACTAAATAACCTCGATTTCGAATACAGTGCGGATGATTTCATATCAACTGCTGTTTATCCTTATCACGAAGTCACTTCTAATGTTCACTTTAACCAATGTGAGAAATATGTTTTAAATGAAGCCACATCATTCATAAATTGGGGATATGAAGATCCGACATTGTTTCGTGGGGGAGGATAGTTTTAAAGTCTATGGTTCGAATTCTAGATATCAGTGACTTAAGTACACACAGCCGACATGTTGATCAAATACAATTCCAGCAACCAGGTGAGTCTGTTCCAATTTCGGTTGTCAATTCTAATACTAATGAGTGCATTCTAGATATTACAAAGTTTTTATCCAATACAATGTCGGACAGAGACAGGATGAACTTAAGATGTACAATCGATTACAGACACTTAGACTCCAATTCAAGCTGTGGTGGATATGGTGTTTGAATGAACTAACGATTCCTTTGTACTTGTTGAATGCTTGATTTCGAAATCCAACTACAGCAAATTCATTTGTGCTTATCTAGTATTTCTTGATTCGATCACGTTATTTCTGGGATTCTCAGTTCATACTATAATTCAAATACTCCTAATCATCATAAGATCTGTGTGTATTTTTTTTTAAAAAAAGAAAAAATGAAAATGATGGAATATTGGTTTGTTTATCAATGAATTTCACGGTGTTGATCACCGTTATTTTTTGTGAACTATCATTTGTCAACTTGAGCTATGAATGAATAGTGTGACTGAGTTGTAGACATTGAAATTATTCATGAAGTCGTTCTTTTACACAAACTAACTACTATGTAGAAAGAAAATGGTTAAACTTATTGTTATGACTTTGTGTCCGGCTTTTTATCACATGATTTGTCCACCAATCAAAATGCTACTTATACAATCTTAGCACTGTGCCAAACCAATGACGTTCGACCGGTATGGGCAGTCTAGAGTCCTTATTGGTCCTATGCCCACCTAGCCCAACCACTTGAGTTCAGAACACCAAATACCAGCTTCCAATATGCTATGCGAATCGAATCGAATAATTTATTTCAGACATACTGGGTTTATATATCAATCAAACAGACCGCAACGCACCATAAAATAGGAAATAACATTTGTACACAATAAAGCCAAAAGTGACTGTGAACGTGGGAGGCAGTAGCTAATAAACTGAACATAGCTTAAGAACCGTAAATCGTACAATAATAAATTATAGATCAAAATAAAGCTTATAATGAGAGGAATATAAATATACCTAATTTAATTATTGAATAGTTATACCATAAGAATGTATAGATAATATTAGTCAATTAATATGTCTCAGAAGTTACTCGTGATTTAATCTTCGCTCGGATATAACAGTTTTATATATCCGTTTATAGTTAGATGCATCCGAATTTCTGAGTAGATTTGTGAACAAATCTCTTGATCTTGTAGTAGTTCAACTTCTTAATTAACAAACTATACTCAATATTCAGTCGCGATATTTTAATTGTTCAAATCAATAATCCAGGAGGCTAATTTAATTTTGCAAAAGCAAAACAGTTTATTTATAGCTGATTAAAACAAAGATAGTTTGGAAATTTTGATCACTCTTATAACAAACCTCAATATACATGTGTGTGTTTTAGAAAATGAATAGTTTTCAATACCGTAAATTATGTAGTATGCCTAATACAAGTGCACCCATCATCAAACAAGTATTCATTCAATGATACGTTTATTTCTATGCGAATCAAGTCTGAAACATGAATCTTAGATACTAGATTCTGAAAAGTAAAAAAAAAACAATTAATGTATTAAAATGCAGTTACAGAAAAAATCAAATTTCAGCTTAGAATGACTAATCTGTTTCTTTGACCATCTTAATTTCATCCGCCCACGTTATATTGAGTCGTACATATTTAATTTTCAGATTTTAACCATGCAATTTATGTATGTTCATTCCAAAAATAAAAGTTTGATTTTCTTTGTATCTGCTTGTTTGGCAAGTTATAACATTTCAGTACAAAATTCAATGCAAGGTGATTTTACAGCAACCGTTTTTGTATATTAACCTTTTTAAATAAATGTCTTTAGAAGTTTGATGCACGTAAATTCACATTATTTTTCTCTATAGATGTAGGTGGAATAACTCCTATCAACAATGTCTAAAAATATCATTTCTGTCAAATGTACACAACTTAATTTATATATATTGATTGTTTGGATCTTCCTATTTATGTTTACTACTGCAACTGATTAGTTTCTTTTTGCATATGTACATCCTGAACGGGTAGCCCAAATATCGACATTAAGTCATCAAGATTTTTAAGAAAAAAATGAATGGTGACTAACAGTGAATGGCGCGATTATTTTTGAGGTGAAGGGTACTGGGTCCGAGTTCTGGGATGCAGATACACCCATCTGACGAGTCCTAAACAAGACAAAACGGGCGTCCTTAACTCCACTGCCGGCCACCATCCATCTCTACACAACGTACTTTAGTTAACACCACATTTTCCAGCAGTATTGGGGTGACTCCTTAATTTAATTTGTCTGTACAAATTACTGACGTTTAGAGGAGTGTTGACTGATGATCACTAATTCATGTAATTCGACTTATCACAGTAGCTTCCATTAAGTTAGTGAAATATCAAGTTACAGTGTATGATTTTATTAATGTTAGTTGTTAGAATAATCTGGAGTTGTTGTCTGGAAATTCTAAGTATTGAGTTTCGTGTGAAAACCTGTGTTTTAGCCTAATAGGTTCAGTACAGTGATATGTTCGTTGTCCATTTGTAATCGCATTTACAAACTCCATTCCTATCTGCTTTCAAATTGGCTGCAAGTAAAGGCTTGAAAACAGTCATTAGAAAACCTGAAAATGAATGAAAACAATTGAAATAAGCATTTCATTTGATCTACAACATTTCTATGGAATCTGAGTTAAAATACTATGTAACCCCAATAATCATTTAAAGTCTTAGCATTTTTATTATTTCCACCTCATTTTTATATGGTTTTTGATGCACTGTAATCTCCTAGTTCATCCATCAAAATCTCACAAAAATTTTCTTTCACTAGACGGATTAACCAAATAAGTAAATCAGTTTACTCAACATTCTAAGGATAACCACTGTTTACTGAACAGTAGAGAATTTCGATGCTGAATATCAACAACACAGAAACTTTTAAGTCTCTTATTAACAATTAACATTTAATGCACCAAATATGGTTGTCGTACTTCATTGAAATAATAAATATGGATCTTATGTTTAGATGAACATTTACTTGATTCAATTATCATTTTGAATATATCAATAAAGATTTAATTTAATTCCGTTGACTGGTATGAGATGAAAGGATTTTAAAGCTATCTAACAGTAAATATAACCTGTTTATACTGCATTTGTTTTCAAATTAGTACAGTATTATTAATGTTAAAGGACACTGAAAACATTAATGAATATTTCATTAAATAATAGTCAAGAATATGCTTATGATGATAGGACATATATTGCGCAAATCATCAAACTGTATCACGAGGCAAGCCTTAACTTGGAATCCTGAAGAGAACCGGAAAAGAGGAAGGCCAAAGAACACATTACGTCGGGAAATAGAAACAGATATGAAAAGGATGAATAACAACTGGAAGGAGGTGGAAAGGATTGCTCAGTACAGGGTTGGATGGAGAATGCTGGTGAGCAGCCTATGCTCCTTCACGAGGAGTAACAGGCGTAAGTAAGTAAGAGTGTCCTTGATCTAATATATAAGCTTAGTAAAGTAATAGTATGATATTAAATCTTATACAGAATAATATTTGATTATGAGATTATCAGTTTTGTTATTGATTGACCTTAAGTTAACTTACAATCGTTAGTAAATCTATGCATTACAACAAATTCTCATTAAATGGACATATGAAACTATTCAATTCAACTAATTATTCATCTAGTCATTCTAACGTCAATGTTGTATTTTTTTTGTTCAACTGACCCTTGCAATATCATAGAAATAATTGTAAAACTGATAAATTTACCATTCCAAAGTATATTTAATTCATTATCTATTATGTAACACATGTGTTGTTCCAATTATCACAATGGGAATCTTTAACATCCTAAAACTGCATGGGGACTCTGTTGCATTTAAAGCATTCAATGAGTTCCTAAAGTTTAATACATATGTAGTGACCTACTTTTACCAAGAGAACGCGATTGGTTTAATGGAAACAATTATTATTATAACCAGTTGTACCAGTGGCTGTTTTACTGTACTTGTTTGTTTAACTGTACAAAAGACATACATTCTTCCGTTGATTGTGACCTTGCACACACTTACGTTTGCTCAGTGATTTCGCTTGCACTCCTTTGGTACGATATCGGTATTTTTTCGATACCACGAGATTGCCAACAAATATATCTCGCTACAACCTCCAATCGCCTTCTGATATTTGGTACGAAAGCTGCTTGTAGTGGTGATCATAGTCAACCGCAAGTCAACATCACACTACACATGTCTCATAGAAACAAAAATGGGCTTAGAATTTGCTATAAATTGTTTACAATCTAATAGATATCCCAAAATATATTGGAAGTCTGCGTCATATTTACATGTGTTGTTCTAATTTACTATCCTTTATAATATTTCTTGATGTGTGGGCGAGAATGATAATGATTGGCTGTCTCTTTAAATAGACATGTAGATAGTCTGACAGGTGTCAAATGAGTTATATATTCCCCTGTCCTTATTATTATTACTACTCACTCATTATTGATTGTTCATTATTGTTGAATTGTGTCAGGTTTTTGGTGTGGAAATATATGTACGTTGTGGTCAGGCTAATCACATGTTCTTGATCTGAGTTGTGTTGACGTCCTGTAGAATAGACACTGGGAGGTAATCTAGTGTAGATATTCGTCTAAGGTAAATTAACGTCCCATACGTGTAAACGTGGAATCACAACTGTCATAACATTAGACGAAATAAAACCGAGCGTTATAACGATTGGCGACGGGGTGAAAAACAAAGAAACAAGGGTACAAAACCACAATTTATAACATTTCTTTTTAATGAATCTATTCACAATATTGATATCAATTATACAATATTATGATAATAAACTGTAATCAATTATATCTAGTTAGATATATGATTTAGTGATCTTTGTTACAGTTTAATATCACTTGAAAGATTATTGAAAACTATAAAGTATTGAATGAATGTTTCATTCTGATTTGAAACTCCAATTGAATTCATCCAGAATTATAATACTAAAATACCTTAATTGAAATCAAATGGATCTTTTTTATTATTATAGTCAGTTCATCATATTCATCAAATACTATTGAATGTTTTTAATCATATTTATATCACGTATGATAGTGATGAACTCAGCGAGTTATTAGGTCTCATTAGAAATTCAGAAATTAAAATTATACTAATTAGTTAATAATGAG